ATATACAACTCAAGTAAACTATCACTCTTTATACTTTCAATGTGAGTATATGTTCAAATTTCCAGCCTTTGGTACTTAATCATTTTACTTTTCAAGATAATAAAAATAATATGAAAATTCATTCTTTGTTTCGACATTTTTTTATTATCTAAATATAAAACTCACTTATATGATAGATTTTCTTAGCATGTAATTAAATTGTTTCTCCAAATTTGACAATTTTTTTCCAAGTTTGTGTTTTGCTACTCGCTCCTATTATTTCATTGTATGACTTATAAGTTTGATTTCTCTATAGTTAGCACAATCCTGAAAACCATCTTATTTGTTAAAATAAGACCAAAATACTTTCCCAAACATTTAGCTTTTAATTTTTTTACTAAAAAAAACTTGTTAAGAAAATCACTGCAATATCCTTGTAACTCTCTAAATCAAAATAAGTATCTCATGAAGTCTTAACTATATGAATTATTTTTAAAGCAAAACACCACTTCAACTTTTAGGATCAGTATATAATATACTGAACCATCTTGTCTGTTATTTTCTTTCAAAATATTTTTTTCCCTTAAATCTGTCATTTAATAATTGTCAACGTATATTTTCATCTTTCTGTGATATTTTCATCGTTAAATCAGATTATATTATCTTAACTTTTTATGTGTGTAACTAATTAAAAATGGGCCATTTACATGCATAACACCCGATTCCTATGTATTTACATATCTAATACCTTAACTTTTTACATTTAGCACCCAAATCTTTCATATCACATAAAAAATACCACTATTTTAAGTTAAAAAAGTGAAATATAGTTTTTCATACATAAGTAAGGTTGTATGTAAGTAAAAATTGAAGTTTATGTGTTAGAGATGTAAATACATAGGATTTGAGTGGTAAGTTTGTAGATCTTCCACTAAAAATCGATAGATCTCTTACCTCTTACCCAAGCTATTCTATATAATGTCCCAATTTTTAGTATCAAAACTATTATATAAATCACCAAATTTTATATTTTTTACTTTGCGCACTAACAACTTTGCAAGAAAAAAAAGCTTTCATACAATCATTAGTATAATTCAATTTTTGTTTTAATCCGTGACAGGGATAGTGTAAACGTCGATCATCTGATGGTCTGATTAGAAGAGTAGATGTTTTAGATTCGACTTATGTTAAGAAAGGCAGAAGTAGACCTTGGATGACTTGGGCATATTGTATAAAAACTGATCTTAATTTATTAAAATTAAATGAAAATATGACACTAAATAGGATGCAATGAAGAAAAAGGATTCAAGTAGCGGACCTCACTTAGTGGGATAAAGGTTTTATTGTAGTTGTTGTATAAAAACATATTTTTCCTCGATAATCCTTTACATATCCGCACTCCACCAAATCTACTTACAATGTATGAACCATTTATAGACTTCAATATAAGTTCTACAGTAATTATTTTAAAGGAACTACCCACTTATCCCACAGTTGGTTTAGCTAAACTAAGGAATTCCAATTAGCCTCTCTTAGCAACCTATCTTTAACAATAGCTATTAATCTTCTTATCTCAAATTGACCCTCCCGGTTTTAGGGTGTTTATTAAAATGGACTATATAAATAATAAATGGAAAACTAAATAGAATGGAACTTAATAGAAAATAATTACATGTTATATATATATATATATATATATATATGCACGTATTCGTCCTTATTTGTTGTTCATATTGTATGTCTCATTTCCCTTGTCATTTGTATTTTAATAGATAACTGTTATACTGAGATTATTTGTCAAACTCACTCTTTGTTATTTTTTCATAACAAATTCAATTCAGCCACCAGTAGAACAGTCTTCACCGTAATAGGCTTTTCGGTTTTAGAGTTTTTGTTTTCGTATTTTTTTTTTAGTATTTGCTTTAGCTATTATATTTACTTTTTGTGATCTGGGTAGTTGTTCCATGTGTTATTTCAGTTTGATTCAGTCAGGTTCCTTCTTTCCTTTCAGTTGTATCAAAAGATTATTCATTATGGAATAAAAATTTACATTTCATGGCTTATTCTTGCATACGAATTTTCCTTTTGAAAAATATAAAACAGGTTCAATACATTTCATCATATCTTGGGTTGTAGGGATGTATCGCCTTCCGGACTCGGGGTGTGACAATACTATAGCACTTATCTATTTTTTCTCAAATTTTGCTTTTTAAACTATCTTCTAATCCAACTTAAGTGGGCAATAACCGCATTCATAATTTTATTGTTGAGAATTATCTCAATAGCAACTACCCTATGATAAGCCCATTCCCTAGTAATTTTATCTTTCAATTATTTATCTACTAGTAGTTTAACAGCATTCCTAATGCTAACCTTTCGAGAAAAAATGACTTATAATCATCTCGAATAACCTTGAATTTCTTGCTTTCCATTTGATTTAACATACACAAATAATATTTACTCTTCTTCTTAAGAATAGAAAACATTTTAATAAAAACATCATGATTATCCTCCTCATCATCATCAAATTATCCCAACTACATAAGCAAACATAAGCATTATAACTATTCATGAAGAAGAGCAATTCTTACCAAATATTTAACATAAAATATCATGAAGGCAAAGCAGTAATTTCATTTTTTTATTCACTCCTTTAAAATAATATAATATATTTTAAAACAGCACAATTTAGCACATAATGGAGAGGAACATGAAAGTTTTTTTGTTTGTACTTATTCAAATATGATCGGTAAAGAGAATGAGGATCAGTTATGGCATGAGGAGGAACTTCTTATCACTATCAACATTAAGCCACCACACAGTACCTAGCTTAAAATTATTCCGATAAATTACTCACTCAAAAAACTCATTAAGAAAAGACAGGATCCGTGCAATTGAAGGAGGCAGTAGCACAGCATTAATGGATTAAAATAAAACACTGATATATGTTAACAAGGATGAAGGAATATTTATAAAGGTGATTCTCTACTAAAAAAGAATCAGTTTTCTCTAAATTTTCTCAAGGATTAACTCACTCGAGAAACACACAATTGAAGATAACAGCGGTACAAAACTAATGGAATAAAATGATTGGTTAAATACTAGGAATGTAGGAATGAGTTTGAAATAAAGGTTTAATAATAAGGGAAAATCAAATGCCTAATCTTAAATGTATGATGCTGTCACTAAACAGTCAAATTTGGAGAACAAATGGTATGTTCATAATTGAAATGATCTATAAAATGGATGCCCAGCCACATCTTAACGAACAAAAACTATTCGGGCAGATGAATCCAAGTGCAGGCATAAAAGAGATTAGCAAAAGAAAAAAAAAACACTGTCAAGTTCAGTTCCATGTTTTGAAAGCTGAATAATTAAGAAGACGCAAACAACAATAAATTGTGCAATCACAAGTCAACATGAAGAAACTTGGTATTATCATTGTGCTGACTTGTTAAACCCTCACAGGGTAACTTACAATTTTCTTCTTTCAAAAAAAACTATGGGATATTTACATACAGACACACAATTCCAATGTATTAACATATCTAACACCTAAAGTTTCATATTTACATATATAACATATTGGTGTGATAAATCCATGCAAGAAAAAGTGTACTCCACTTTTAATATGTATGTGATGGTGGAATTTTTATGTGATATTAAAGATTTGAGTGCTATGCATGAAAACATTAAAAGTTTGGGTGCTATATATGTAAATACATAAGAATTTTGGGGTAGGTGTGTAAATGCCCCAAAAACCAATCAACAATTGATTGGGATGGAGTAAGCATGTGCGATAGAGCTAATGGAAAAAAAATTACCCTGATGTACGAGGAATAAAAGGGGGAGGGACTAAACAAATTCATAAGATGTTGCCCTAAAGATTTCAACCAATAGAAATCAACCTTACCTCAAAGCTTAGAAGAATTAAGATAGAAGAAGATTCAGAAAGGCAACCACAACTGGCCCATAAAATGCAAAGCAATTATATTTTTTAACATCTCTGAAGTATTAAACCAACTCTGCAATTTTTATCAAACCAATGAGGAAACAAAAACATAAATGTCTAAATGATCAATGAAATTAGAAAATGAAGCAAACGTAATGCAAATATGCTCATAACAACAAGACATAATAGAAACAAGGGGCATTTACATACATTACACAAAATTCTAATGTATTTACATTTCTCACAAAGAAACTTTCATATTTACAAACATAGCACTCAAATCTTAAATATCACATCAAACATAGCACTGCTATTACTTCTTTAAAAATGATTAACATCTTTTCATGCATAAGTTTAAAACAACAAAGTACTATGTATGTAAATATGAAAGTTTAGTTGCGAGATATGTAATTGTGTGCTAGGTATGTAAATTTCCATAAAAACAATTTAGAAAGCTCATAAAGACTGAAGCTAAAAGCAGCTTAATTCCTCAAACATCAGAGTGGTGTACAGTTCCCAACTACAAGTATGGGCCACTCACTCACAAAGCAAAGACTCACAATGTAGCATTCTTCCCACTTCTCTCCATTCAAAAAGTATCACATATGGACCATAGACTTAATTAGGAACGCAAATTCAATCTAATCATCATCGTCCCACCAATGCCATTCATGATTAATATAGCAATTACAAACTACAAGATCACTCCTCCAAAAGCTTAAAAATTAATCGACAAACTCTTCAGGTTCGCGCTACTGCACTGCATCAAAAGGCAAGAAAATGAACAAGAGAATTTTATGTTTATAAATAGGGCATTCGAAACACACACCGCCTAGAAATTTTGCAGTGATATTTCACTTCCTTCCATTCGTTCTTCAACAATCTAAAGCAATCAAATACCTCAAATGTTCTCCACTTCAAAAGCGTGCTAAAAATCCATCAAACTCAAAAGAAAAATAGCATCTTCAATCCGCCATTGAACCTTGCCGAACCCACCCCACTCTAGCTCTCACACCCCCTATCTTCCATAGAGCCATCAAAAACAATTTGCAAGAGAAGCATTCATTACCTTATCCTCCATGATGGCCTTTAACCGGACCATGGCGGCCACAGCGTCCTCCTTGGCCGCGAAGAGGCTTTGCTGAAAACCAAGCGCCCTGCGCTCCGCCGAAAGAACCCGCGCCGCCGATTCCTTTGCGGTATTGAGGATGATGTCCGCATAGGCCCTCTTCAGAGCCGCCATTTTCTACCAGGGAAACCGTTAGGAGATCAGAATGGAGAAAACGAGAGAGAAATCAGAATACTACCTCGGCCTCCTCTTCCATGATCAGATAGAACTAGGTTTTCCTCTTCCTCCTCTTCCTCCTCTTCCTCTTTGCTCTCGAGCTCTGAAGGAGTCAGCGATGGCGGTTGGAGGCTGTAAGCAGCAGTAGTGGAGGGGAAAACGGGGAGTTGAGGTCCGGCCCTTTTTCGGACAATATTTTTATGGCAATTTCTCATAATTTTGATAAGTAGGCACGTTTTATTATTTTATTATTTTTATTTTCTTGTTATTATAGGAGCCATTTAATTGCTAGGCGTTATAAAGCATGTTTCTAAAAATAGTGTATTTATTATATTCTGTTATATGTTTGATCATAATCCAAAGTTAATATGAATTTTAAATTCTATTAATGCGGGCTCAAAAGATAATATATGTTATTTGAATACATCAGTAGTCCATACGTAGAGCTACATGTGAAGTCCAATGAAATTACGTCGTGGAAGGTGATCGACTCTATAATACAAAGGAGTATTCCCCTCATGTTATTCAAGTGTTATTGTGTGTTATTCAGATGTTATTGTGTGTTATTCAAGTATTATTGGCGTGTTATTGTGTTATTATAACAATTGGAATATTCTCAGAACACAATAACACATGAATAACTTATTGGAATATTCTCAGAACACAATAACACATGAATAACTTACAATAACACACAATAACACCTAAATAACACAAGGGAAATATTCCTGGAACACAATAACACCTAAATAATATATAATAACACTTGAATAACACACAATAAAACTTGAATAACACGAGGGAAATATTCTCTGGTGTTACCGGGTTGATCACCTTCACGGCGTAATTTCATTAGACTCCGCACGTAGCTCTACGTGCGGAGTCCTGATGTAATATTTTTTTCCAGTGTGAGACAACAATCTCAACTATTATGTCGCAGATAAATAGGCTTCATTGGAAATCTTAAAAAATAATAATTTAAATTTTCTTATTTATAAAATTACTAAGCATATAAAATTTATTTAAGTATAGTTTTTATACCGTTAAATAATTAAATATTCATGAATTAAATTGTTATAGAAAAACTTCACAAAGATCTAATAATTTAATTTAATTGTCTTAGTTTAATAACTCGATTAAACTGCCTAATATTTTAGCTGTGTTGAGAGATAAAATCTGAAACAAACCACTAAAAACATATAAGTATGTTTTCATACAATTTTTATTTTCTATTTTTTGCTTAATACATTCATTTTTAATCTAAAATAACTAAGTAAATTTGTTATAAATAATATAAAAAAAATTGATCTAATTATGATTTATTTTTGAGACAATATAAATATCGATAATAAAAATTAAAAATTCGACTAAGATTCTTAACTTAATCTTTATTTGTTGTTTTTATTAATTTGTAATGGTTTCTAGTTCAACTTGACTTTACATGAAAATAAATTATTTTTAATTTCTTCTTACTATTATCAAATCAATATATATATATATATCGAGCCCTCAGCCACCCTCATGTATCTAACTATTCGAGGACCGCTCTCATTACCGTCAAACTGACCCGAGGTGAATTCAAATCCGTGACCTGAGGGAATTTACGACCTTCAAAGAGACTGTTCTACCATCAGACCAGGACTGGCGGCATTATTATTATTATTATTATTATACGTATGTGTGTGTGTGTCTATATGTATATAAAGGATCAGAATTAAGATTAAAATTAAATAATGAGAGAATGTTGAAAAAATTAGATATTACTTTTAAAAAATAACATTTAAGAAGAAAAAAAATATTAAAACAAAATAAAGTGCAAATCAAATGCCTTTAAATGCTTCACTCTATTTAAGTTTTCTAATAAATCATGAATTTCATAAGAACCAATTTAATGCAATCATATCTCATTGTTTGGCCAATAAGGGGGTTTGGGCCGGATTCAATAAAGGGATGATTTCTAACCAAAATGCTTGGGATTTAGTTGGAAATTTTTATTTTTATTTCTTCTAACACATCCATTTTAGCTAATAACTCTATTATATTTTTTTATTTGCACAAATGTTCTCTTGGACCAAATTATTCTAATGATTAATAGCTCATTATATTTGTTAGAATTTAGGATGAGTAATCCATCAATACGAATTATTTTTCTTTATAGACATTAAATTTAATGAAGCAAACTTAATTTACTTGTTTTGTATAATAAATTTTGAGCATTCAAATTATCATGAAGAGGAGATGATTAGAACTAATTCGAGTTTAAATTTGAATTGAAACTAATTTAAATCATATCTGAATCAAGTTAAAATTTGTTTATAACTGCTTCACGAATATATTTCACGAACATTTTTAGATTGTGCTTGAAGCTTTGGGGGTGGATAATTGCCTTCCAATATGCCTGATCAGGCTCTAGGCTATTCTCCTACAAAAAAACTCTGTGTTGCCCATTTCGCTTTGAATGGAATCTTGTTCGATGGAAGTACTTAGACTTCGTTTGAAGTAGAAAGATTGTTCAACTAATTTCTCATAAAAGTCATGTTCGTCAAATCGGAGGAGACCAGCTGATATCGGAATACTGGAGATTACCCACAATGGCGCATGACACAATTTTACTACTCGCTTAAAACATGGTTACAATAAGATTCAAAATGACGAAAGACAACACACAAAACAAAGGATTACAACTACTGACTCAACAAAGAAGACATAACTTGCTTGATGAGAAGGGAGTCTGGCGAGGGGAGGCCTGATTGGTGGCTGTGTTGAAGGCTAAAGAGGTGGGTTTGTTGTGGAAGAAGTAGGACAGTGGGTTGGTGATAGTAATCACATTGAACTACAGTGGGAGAGGTGCAGGAACGTCGTCGGAGGTTGGATTGGTGGGTGCGGTGAAGGCCAGAGAGGTGGGGATGCTATGGATAAGTAGGACAGCGGGTTAGCGATAGTAACGACGTCGGTCTGCAACTGGAGAGGTGCAGGAATGTCGTCGGAGGTTGGATTGTGAAATGGCAGTAGGTAAACAGCAGTATGGTAAGACAAATGCCTCGGCGAAGTCGAGATACAACCAGACCACAACTCAAACCCTTGGAGACGATCATCACTTCAAACAAGGAATAGTCAGAGCACTACCTCAGCGTTGGATACCACCCTCAAAGGGTAAATACCAAAGCTAAAATTGAATTCAGATATTAAAAAACAAGACCCCTAATCGTCAACTATTATTTACAAAGAGACTTGACCCAATTAGGAAACACTAAAATAAGAAATAGAATAAAACTAGATTTTAGATTTTAGAAAATACTTAAAATTAGAAAAGAGAATAAAATTAAATTTCAGATTTGAGGAAATGATTTAAAATTAGAAAAAAAATAAAATTAGATTTCAAATTTTAAGAAAGGATTTAAAATTAGGATGGAGAATAAAAATCATATTTTAGTTTTAGAAAATATTTTAAAATGGGAAAGTGCTGGGAGAAAAATAAGCAAAGAAGGAAAGGAAGGAAAAAAGGGAAATGAGAGAAAAGGGAAGGGGGGTGGGGGGGGGGGGGAAGAGGAAGGAGAGGGTGGCAGCACCCCTTCCTTGAGGACCAGTCGATCCTCTCTTGAGCCCTGCGTCACCAATTGCGATCGGTTTGTGAAAAAATTCAGGAAACATTTGCCTCCCGATGCTTCACCGAATGAAAATTTTTGAAGAGGTCGACATTCACTGCAATCGAACGAAACATCACCGTGTTCTCAAACAAACTTAAACATAATTATATGTAATCCATCAGCTCGCCACTTTAAAGTCCCACACCACTATTGTGTCACAAGTCACCGAAGACAACTAAGGTTGTGTTTTACACAGCTTAATTGTTGTGGTACGGTACGAAACTGTTAAACCATGTGTTTGTTTTGTGTGGTGTGGTGGTGTATTGGAAAATTTTAATAAAAATGTGGTCGCGGGCTCGACTCCACAGCCCATGTTCGTTGGCTTTGTTTTTACTTTTTTGCCCCTGGTTTGCCTCATTTGCGTGTACCATAGTGTTATGATCTTGCAGAGCTCCATTCTCCTTTCTTCTCCTCGCACTTGCTTCTTCCCTAGCAGGTCCAAGTCCCTGTTCTCAACTGTCCTCTAGTATCTTCCTACCCCTCTCTCTCCCCTTATGTTACCTCTTCCTGTGAGGCTTGTGGTTGATGTTGAGAATTATCTCAATGGTTTTTTAGCTTTGTCTACGATAAAATGGTTTTTACGACTCTTTCAATTGCAATCTTGATTTTCCAAGGAATGACTTAGCTTTGTGATTATCGTTTGTGGCTTGGTTTATGGCGATTTATGGCTTAGCTTTGTGATTTCCTTTTGTGTATTGGTTTTATGACTATATGGAAAAAATGAGAGAGAAATTAATGGGAAAATGCCATATTACATTTAAATTTTACTGAGAGACTTGGGAGTATATATTTTTTGTGATCTTGTCTCTTTACTCATTGTGATTTTTGGTTCAATGCATTTGTTGGCATGTTGCTTTGAGTTTAGAGCTTTGTTATATTGAATAATTGAATTTAGGGACAGGAAAAGACCAAATTGCACCTTTTCATGTGAATTTTGGAAGTTGTTTTTTTGGTTAGGTTCCCGTGGCTCTTTGTTCTTTATGGTGATTGTTATGTGTGATGGTGGTCTCTGTGATTGATGTGGTGCATGTGATGGTGATGTTAGTGGTGGTGGTGGTGGTGATCGTGGTTGTGTATCTGTGGTTATGTGTTAGTGGTGGTGGTGATGATGGTGTGGCGGTAGTGGTTGTGTGACGGTGGTGTGGCGGTGGTGTGTTGGTAGTGGTGGTGGTTGTTGTGTGTTGTTGTTGTGTGTTATTGGTGGTGGTGGTGATGTTGGTAGTGGTAGTGGCGGTGATGTGATGGTGTGGTGGTAGTGGCGGTGTGGTGGTGGCGGTGATGTGATGGTGTGGTGGTAGTGGCGGTGTGGTGGTGGTGTTACGTTGGTGGTTATGTGTTGGTGGTAGTGGTAGTGGTAGTGGTAGTGGTGTGGTGGTGTCTTAACCTTCACTAAAGATGAGCTCGAGCACTTCAGCTACTTCCAAAGCATTGTACTGCTACTGTGGTTTCTTCTTATTTCACGGCAGTGACATAACTACGAGAGAGTTTTACAGGTATCCAAGGAGATGAACAAAAAGTTGTGGCTTCTTTAGGT